CCCACAACACCGCATCGCGGAGCTCTCGAGGACTGCGGATTCCAAGGTCCTTAATCATCGGTGCTTAACGTGTGACTTCTGGACTTTTGACCACACCAAAGTCAAGTCGCACTTTCGTCAGGCGCATCCTAAGGACTGGTCACGCCTACACAGGCGGGCTGTTAATATCTGTCAGGGCTACTCGCCCCAGTTAGCCAAGGGCCACTCATGTCCCTTCTGTGGCTACAAGGTCTATGACCGCAGACTGCATCCGGAGCAGTGTCCGGTGCTCTATCAGGTAAGCACGCAGTGGCTGCGAGGGCAGCCTGACGCGGACGTCGATCCCGTCGCCCCGCCTCCCAAGCCTCAGACAAAGTCGTTGGCCAGCTTTTTTAGACCTAGGTCGAATGGCACAGCCTCCAACTCGTCGAGCACAGCTCGTCATCCTACAACAGACTCGAACCAGGAGTCTGTGACGCAGGCCCCCAGGAACACAGAGCCACAGCCTACAGGCTTACACAAACGTGTACTGTCTAACACGGCAAACTCCTGCTACGCTAACGCTCTCTTCCAGGCCTTGCATCAAGTATCGAGCTTTGGGTATGATCTGGGTGCTTTTCAATCTGTCTTAACCCATTTCGGGGATGAGAGTGCCCCTAGACTTCTGAACTTGTTCGGCCTGTTTGAATTTCGCCATGCCATTGCCGGTTGGCGACTGGATGGCAGGCAACACGATGTCTCAGAATTTCTTCACCATCTGCAGCAAAAGCCCATGGGATCCCTTCAGCACACTCAGTGGCAGGGTCGTACTGGGGGAATCGTTGAGGAGTCGGATGTGGGAGTCAGTCCTCTTCTCCTTCCCCTTCCGACGGGACCTCTGTCTCTCCAAGCCTGCCTAAGATTCTGGGAATCGCAAACTTTTAGTCGAGCGCTGGTATGGGCCCCAGAACTCCTAGCTGTTGTGATTTGCAGATGGCAAGACGGTGTCAAGAATACCCAGCCGTGCGCCTGGACCGGCCGTGCCATGGTGTCCGTGTGGACATCCAGCGAGCACACTGCCCAACGATCCTACCAAGTCCTGGCAGGAGTTGCCCACTTTGGGGACTCCCTAGCGTCCGGGCACTACCGAGCCTTCTGGCCAGAGGACCCCGCGGATGCGAGATCTCAGGTGTGGATTTGCGACGACTACAAGCTTCCGGAGAGGGCCTCAGCGGCCTTGGTTCAATCACTTTCCCGAAACGTCTACATGCTTTTCTTGCAACGAACTCGTTAGCATCATCGCTTCAGGCGATGCATGCCGGCCCAACCTCGGCCCTCAGGGCTAAGCAGGGCGCCCGTGCGTGAGAAGCCTGTAGTCAATTTCATGTTGACGCAGGCCGCCTCACGTCAAGGCCAAGTGCGTCATGAGCGCACGCGGACATGCACACTCTGTAATTTCCTTCCTCTCAATCAGCTCTTTTTATTTAGTCAGCTTCCCCCCAGCTCCCTTTGGCCGTCATGACTGCCTCGCCTGCTACTGCCAAGAGCCCGGAGCACAAGCATCTGTCGCAGCCGGGTTGAAATGACAACGGAAGGAAAAAGCTGCCATCGTTGTCAACCCTTCCGCCTCAAGCTTCGCGAAGCTCTCATCCGACACCCCAATGTCTTTGGCTCGCGCCTTGAAGACTGCCGCGCTCTCCCCAAAGGACATGGCTCCTAGTGCTAGATTCACTCAAGATCAGACTAGGGCCCAGCACGCCTTGCAATCACTTTTAGCGACGGCGAGAATGCCGCTCCCTAGTGCGCCACAATTTAGTCCAGCTTAGTGCTGAATTGCTCTTGCCCCAATATGGGCGCTTAGGCTAAGCACCCATTTTAGTACGGGAGCAATTAGAAAATGCCACAGACTCCTCAAATCCCGTATGGCGCAGCCTCTGGGAATTCGGTGCTCTTCCGACGCTTTTGCAAATCTCTTCGGGAGCTGTAGAGCAGCGCGCTAGCCACGGCAAAATGCAGGACACTGCACTTCGCCTGAGCCGATATGGTCAGTCAGCTGTCAGCTGTTTGACTCACTCAGCTCTGCAGGTACGCACATGTGACCCTTACGGCCTTCTGTCTCCAGCATGAGTAATCCGTGTGGGACGCCACAAGACGGATACTCTAGGCGCCGGCTTTGCCCGAAGTACGACCCAATTGCTGGGACAGGTGCACAGACGGACGCGTCTGTTCACAACAAGGTGCTTACTCAACTGAGCAGTCTGAGAGGAATATGAGCGATGAATGCTAGCAGATAACCAGTTTCACGAGTGCACGGGACCAAAGGCGCCCGCAAAGCGCAGAGCACGCTCGCGCAGCGTTCAATTGAAAAAAATAGTAGTAGTAGTAGTAGTAGTAGTAGTAGTAGTAGTAGTAGTAGGCGGCCCCCACCCTACCCACTATCCCTTTTGCATGCGTTGCTTGGGGGGGGGGGGGGGGGCTGATAACGTACAAGCAGCCTCGAACAGTTATGACCACCCATTTTCGAGTTTTCGCTGAAAGCCCTCGCAAAGGCAAAAGACAACGTAGCAAAGTCCAGAGGTAGGCTTGGCGACTAGAAAGACGGCTGACGTCACGAAAGCAATGTAAATACCGAGTAAAATGGCTCTTCCGGAGTTGTTCGGGGCGTCGGCGTAACAATGTCGTCATCATTCTTCCCGCACCCGCCCCCCCACCCCCCGCCAAAAGCAAGTCCAGAATCGGATGCTAGAGTTTGAAAACTCGTTGTTAGTAATGGAGTGTGACATGAGCAAAGTACTTTAAAGACCGAGTAAAAAAGCTTTCCCCCAACCACTTTCAAGTTTTTCGCTGAAAGCCCTCGCAAAGGCAAAAGACAACATAGCAAAGTCCAGAGGTAGGCTTGGCGACTATATAAGATAGCAGACGTCGCGAAAGTACGGTAAATACCGAGTAAAAAGGCTCTTCCGGAGATGTTGTTCGGGGTGTCGGCGTAACGATGTCGTCATCATTCTTCCCGCACCTTCCCACCCACCCCAAAAAGAATAGTTCCGAAAACGATCCCGGAGTTTCAAAACTCGGAGGTGATTTTTGAGGCTTCATAAGATGTTGCTACATGCCGAAAGTGCTGTAAATACCGAATAAAACGGATGTGTGTTACAAGCGCATGTAACACGAGGTAGTGGGTAGGGGGGGGGTGGCTAGTAGTAGTAGTAGTAGTAGTAGTAGTAGTAGTAGTAGTAGTAGTAGTAGTAGTAGTAGTAGTAGCAGGTGTAGTAGTAGTAGTAGTAGTAGTAGTAGTAGTAGTAGTAGTAGTAGTAGTAGTAGTAGTAGTAGTAGTAGTAGTAGTAGTGTCACCCACATGGCACGCCAATGACAGCTCCGCGGGGACTACTAGTAGTAGTAGTAGTAGTAGTAGTAGTAGTAGTAGTAGTAGTAGTAGTAGTAGTAGTAGCAGTAGCAGTAGCAGTAGCAGTAGCAGCAGTAGTAGTAGTAGCAGCAGTAGTGGTAGTAGTAGTAGTAGTGGTAGTAGTAGTAGTAGTAGTAGTAGTAGTAGCAGTAGCAGTAGCAGTAGTAGTAGTAGTAGTAGTAGTAGTAGTAGTAATAGTAGTAGTGGTAGTGGTAGTGGTAATAGCAGCAGCGGGAGTAGCAGTTGCAGTCGTCGTCGTGAGGGTGCAGCGGTCCAAACTTGCTTCCACGTCTTCTGCTGCTACAATTACATGAAAGGGATGAGCCAGTTTCTGCTACTGTAGCAGCTGCAAAAGTCGGAGTCATCAGCTCCAGCAGAAACAAGGGAAGTGATCCAAATTCAAAACAGCACCGCATCTGGATCAGGAATTTTGGTCACCCAGCTGGCGAGCCAATGACAGCTCCGCGGCACGGACCAGGAATCTGTTCCCTGTCCCCCTCTTGCTTGGTACCAGTATACCGCTAGTATCATGACAGTACATCTATGAAATTCGTGAAGCGGCTTTACGGGACGCACCTTGAACCTTGAAACATGCCAACAAGAACAGGTTCACAGTCTCACTGCCATTCTTGCTAAACCTGATCTTCATAAGACGCATGGAGTTGAGTTCACGTTAGGAAACTGTGTATGCTGGCCTCACCGGCCAAAGAATCTTGGTCTACAGTTGTGCAACATTCTGCGGAACTGGAAATATTGGCCAGGATCGGCTTAAATGCCGAGCGGCTTGCAAAAAAGCAGGAGGGCGAAGTTGCTGTTACACTCTCACAACTCGGACAATCCGGTCGCTCTGGCGCGTTAAAGGATCTGCGCCCGCTGTGGATTGCTTCTGTTGCAGGGAGGATTCGGTGTAAATAGCTTCTCCTTCAAACTTTTCAACGCCTCCACTTGCCAAGAGCTGTTTTGGAGGAGTCCAACACCGTTGTGTCATGTCTGCTTGGTAATCTGCAGCTTTGGCGGGTGAGCAAAGGTGGAGGCATGTTTGTAGTGGGTGAACTCGCCATCAGTCATGCTTATGTCGACGACGGGCCGCTGATTGACGGCACGCTGCTGCATCGCAAAAGCTGTGCAAATGTGACGCAATGGAACCCAACCCAGCATGTTGAGACTAAGTAAGCCCGGACACCGGTGCTTTCGGAACCAATCGGCACACTGATAACCTCGGGTGGAGTGATAATGCTGAACTCTTACGTAACTAAATAACGGCGAAAGTGTTGACCTCAGGCCTCTCATTTCCTGTCACGAACGTTGGTAGCGCAACTTTGGCCAGGACATGATTGACCAGCATTGCGAAGCACTGCAGGCACGCACTCGAGAGCACAACTGTCCATCAAATCCCTTGTCTGTTTACACGTGCATTGCATAGTAGCCTGGCCTACAAAAGCTGAGATACATAGACTTCCGACCCATAAAGCATGTGCGGGCAAGCATTCTGCAACACAAGATGCTCAAGCTTCGAAACCTATGTCTATCAGCCTCACTATCATGCCTGACTTCTCTCTGGCATAGAGTTTACAGCATCCTAGGCATTACACAGGAGATGTCCTCGTTGCTTGATGAACTCAGTAAGTGACCCGGTGCTCTATTCTTCGAAACGAACAAAGTAGTCTTGCGGCATTTCATTCACCGCATCCGACACAAGGATCCGAGAATGAGGGCTCCTGGCCTGCATTGGCAGCGGCTGGCCGCCAATCCCTGCGTGGGTTGCAGACAGCGACATGCTGCTTGCATTGCCTGCAGTGCCGTGCTGAGGCAGCCGGTGCAGCAGCCCTTGCAGGAGCGCTTGCAGCTCGCTGTCCGTGCAGTAGCAACCATCCTCAGAATCATCGTTGACGAGCTTGGCAAATGCGTCCAGTTCGAGGCCCTGCGAAGATCGGCTTTCGCGGCAAAGAGCTTCAAACTCGAGCTGCCACTCCCGATCGGTGCCGGTGAAGCCGGTTTGCTCTGCAAACGGTCGCATGTCACCAGCCGTCAGGAAGCCGTTGCACATCGTGTCCAGAGCAGCGAACACCGCCTCGATACATCCTCGTCTGGTATTTACCTGGCAAGGACCCTGTGCCGCATACACTTTAAGACGCATCGTGGCATTTTGTTGGTCCTACATTCGTGGGCGCTTCCTTGTGTTGTTCGCGCAAGGGACCGATGGAGAAACGACGTAACGACCTGCGGACGGACGGTGGAGGCACTGACTCTGCACGAGTGTAGCCAGATCAGATACACCAACAATTCAAGAACGATCAAAAGGCTTCAAAAAGGCATTGCCCTATCCGTTGGCTAGATTCCTACGGAGCACGTTCAACAACTTTGCCTGATTCGGGTGGGTTTAAGTGAATGTCACTACGGTTTGATGCGATTCGATTGTGCTCACCGTACCTTCAAAGGCCAAACGTTCGACATTGTTGTGCACTCTTTGCTTGCCAGGATCGTCGAGAGGATGTTAATCGACATTGACCGACTGCTTCTCAATTCGCGAGCGGACGCGAAGCATGTTTTGTAGCCGGTTCGCCGCTGGGGTCTCATCCCCCTACCCACGACGGAGACCAGGCATGACCAGGCGACACAATGGGGCAGCACAGGGTGGCCCTCGGGTTGGACGGGAATGCAAGTCGTCGTTTCCCGCAACACAGCAATCCCGCCCGCTCGCACAACCTCAAGTAGGCAGCCAAAGCTATGACCAAACAGGGGGAGGTACCGACAAATACCGACGGACTTGTAGTAGCTAAGCAGGCTTGGAAGCAAATCAGCGGATGGAAACCAAGATGCATCGATGATGGCGGCCAGGCTTACTGTAGTCTATAACGAGGCAAGGAACCACCTAGAAGGGCTGGTAGCTTGTCCTCACCGACCTGCGGACTGGAAGGAACTGCTCAAAAAGATGTTGGGAAGATTTTCGCAAGCACGATACCAGTGGTGCTTCAACAAGCACTGGCCACCCTCCGGGAGGCCCTTTTGCAGACGTTGCGACCTTGTGAGGAGGGGGAACTCCGGCCTGGGCCATCAACCGGTGGGTGGTCAAAGCACAGGACCGGACGGGATCTCGCACGAAGCCGCTCGGGAGCTCGGAAGCTTGACGACATGCTACACAAAGGCAAGGGATCAGCGTCTTGGACAAGCATCGGGGGTCCACGTAAATTTTCAGAAGATCGATTGCAGGGGTGTCAAGTCCCCTGCCTGCTTTCGGTGCCTCATCACAGTCATCGGCTCGCCGGCGAGCTTCGGGGAGGCCATCCCAAACATAGTCGCTGAAATGCAGCGCAAGGGCAGGGATGTTTTTACCATAAATAAACACAATTCAACCCCGTGCCGGAACACACCTGAAACCCCGCATGGCAGCGTACGGCGTACTCGACCCAAGTGAGAAGCTCACCACCATGGGCAGCGGAAACAGCCAGCCCTCAAACACTCGGAGGAGAGGAGGAAACACGCCAGCTATGCTCAACCAATGACCGGCATCCACTGAGACAGTTGCCATTACAGGCAACTGCGAAAGTCATGCCTTGGTCGTGCCCGGGTGGCCTTTCCCCATGTAAGCGCATGATTCAAGAAGTCACGACAAGTCGTGCCCGGAACCCTTTCCCCCATCTAAGCGCATGCATCAAAGGGTTGTTGGAGTCACACATTGTCAACTTTAAACGTGCAGCGCTCACATGGGCAGTGCATTTTGCCTAGACAATCTTGCGTTACAGCTCCAGATTTCCATGACAGCAAGAGCTGCGTCAACATCAGCACGGAAGGCTTTCCCCCATGTAAGCGCTTGCCTTCCACTCGCCACCCACCCACTACCACCACTCTCCCTTTGTGCCAACTGCCACAGCACTTTGCCAGAGGCTCCGATATGATACACTGAAACCCACGGTCGCACCTGGTTGCACCTTTCAGCGAACACCGGTGGACAGCCACGCGCGACAAACAACACAAGCAAGAGAGACGGACACGCAACCTCCCCACACAACCAACAGTCTTTGCATATCCAATGTTGGTCATTGCCGCAACATCGCCGTTTGCAGCTTCACTGCAACACCAGACAGCGCAAAGACAACCACCTTATCTTGCCGCGCCCCACCCCGGAGCGCGAAACAGTATGCAAGCTGTGATCAAACTGTGCGCGTCTTCTGCCCCAATGAACAGCGTGGCAAAGAAGCTCGCCCACATCCGGGAGGACCTGTTTTGCAGTGCCCACGGGAAGACCCTCCATGCCCTCGAAGGTCGAAGGAGCTGCTGCATTTCCCGTCATGTCTTCCAGCAGGTTGATGGTTTGTTGCATGTTGGTGGTTACCTTGCTCTCGACTTGGTCCGCCATGGACTTCATGATGCCCTTGGTCCACCCCACAGCCGAGTGCCCACGTAAGGGCGTGCTCGGCTCCTAGTCGGCCACTCCGCGGAGGGCTCCCTCGTGGATCCACTTTCACGGTCCCGTCTGTGCTGGATCCCCTTTCATCGGCATGGGCATGGGAGAGTATCACTCATGGGGCTGTGGAGGTGGAGGTAGTGTCACGACCGCGAATCACTGGTTGTCCGCGCTTGACGATGGATCGGATTAATTCCCAATCTTGAAAAGGCCCGCCAACCCGAAAAAGCCAAGGTGTGTTAAACTCTCCCCGAGCGACAGGGCCAGAACACCTTCGTGAAGAAGACGTTGAGCTCGCGAAAAAGGACAAGGGGGAGACCCCCTTGCCGGAGCGCGTGCGTGCGCACCCAAGCAACGGAGGCAATCTGCGGCTGCATTTTCTCAGAGCCGGCTGTTGCAGGGCTTCGGCTCACAGAAAATCTCAAGTTTGGATCTGGCATGGGTTTCGCCCCGGAATGCAGTAGACGTCCTAAACAACAAAGCGGACAGGAAAAAAGGTAGCGGGAATCCCTTGGCAAGGTGAGCAAATTGGGAGGCTCCGCTCCTTTGGAGAGCTTGGATAGAGTACAGCGTGCCCATCTGGGGCAGGGACTGATCGAGTGGGGTTGGCTCCGGCGGCCAGTCTTGAATTATTTCTGCACGCGGAAAGGAAATAGGGTCGCAGCTGAGACGAGGCGGCTGGTTTCCCCGCAGGTCCCCTCAAGGAAAGATTGAAACTGAAATTCACAGTTGGAGACTAAATATCCGGGGAACAAGGTGAGCTTGCAAGCATGTGCTGCCAGCTCCCACCCTTGAAGCTCAGCGTCGTCGAGGGGTTCTCCCCTGGCCTTCCTTGCGCTCTGCTGCTTTGCGGCGCCCATCCAGCTTCCTTTGAGCCTCTCGCGACGTCGTCGCTCTATGTCACTCTTGCTGACTGAGTTCCCCCAGTGGTGGCGGTGCTGGCGCACCAAGTGGCTCAACACGGCAGGACTCGTCGCTGCTGGCATGGATTAATGATTAATGATTCAGAATACTATTCAGAATGATCGAAGTCATCGAAAATGTCGTAAGATGGATGGATTCCGGCTGGGCGGAAGTGCCGTTGCCGAACCTCCCCCCGCATCCCGTGCGGTCCAATCGGCTCCTCTTGGTTGAGGTTTCGACCAACACCCATTATGTTGTGGTATGCCGTGTTGTCCTGGGCTGCGCTGTGGTCACCTGCGCAGTGCTCCAGGATGCTCGTTGAGTTTGGGGCAAGGAGGAGATCCGATTCCATCACGAGGATGCTATCTCTCGGCTCTGACTTGGGGCCACATCCCCTCGTAGCAGGTGTTGATTGCCACGTCAACTTTTTCGGGGGCGCAAGTGCACTCCACGTGGTCATCCGTTGCAGCGTAAGGCTCGGCCGGTTTCTCACGCTTCGTCATTGCTTGGAGGTATTGCTGCTGCTGCCTGCCTCGATGGGGGAGATTTGTCGAACCAGGCCCGTCTTGGGGACTGGTGGAGCATCAGGGCGAATGATGACCGACTTGCTCATGCTCTCCATCGGCAGCAGGTGGGCTAGCCACAGCTCGCACTGCATGGAGATGCCTTGGGCCCGGGGCCCGCTCTCCGCAGCTGGGCTTTGCTTGCAAACGACCAGTAGACGACTGGCCTCAAGCAGGGGATCATCATGATCCGTTATTTCATCGCGACTGGTAGCAGTAAAGTTGAACCTCGGTTTCGGCTCCTTGGTTGTGGGGGAGTCCCCGGCTAGCTGGATCTTGGTCTTGGCTCTCTGGGCTGCGGGGGTGTCCCCGTCTGGCTTTGTCTTGGTGGTCTTAGCGGGGGGCCAGAGAGCTTGAACTTCAATGCGGCAGGCTCGGCGCTGGCAGGGGTTTCGCCCGTTTGGCGAGATCGGCAATCTCCCTTGTAGCGTCCCCCAAGTAGGTCTGGATCTCCGCTGCGTTGACGGCTGTGCATCCGTGCAGTACGCACTTCGGGTCCTTTTGCTATCCTGTTGCTCGTGCGCACCATGGAAGGACGGTCCTTCGGAGCAACGACGACACTGAAGGGACGGCTTTCCCCTCTGGTCAAGCCTTTTTTGCTCCACAATCGCCGTCACTCCTTTACGGGGATTCCCCGGCTTGGGCCTCGAGGACCTGGACAGCCGCGGTGTCCGAAAAGAAGCGAACTTGATTTCGGGCAGAACTCGGGCATGTTTCGCTTGGAGAAGAGGGTCACGAAGGGCACATCCCTGGGCTCGAACCGCGCACGGCTTGAGCCAAAATGGCTACGGTCTCTCGCTCTCGCACTCTGTCTTCTCTCTCTCTCTCTCTTCCGGGCTTGGAGGTCGGGCCAGCGTTCAAGGCCCTTCCGGGTGTTTGTCCCAGCGGGCTCAGCTGTATTGAGGTTCAAGGAAAAGAGGGTAAGTCATCGAGTTTCCCCCGCAAGTAAAACAGCATGAAATCCCCTCCCCCCACAACAAGCAACTCGATGACCCGCCTCGTGGGGGCCAAAGGAAAAGGCTTGCCCCCCCCCCCCGCTTTTAACGGGAAATACATTCGTCGCCCAAAGAAAGAGTGGAATCGAATTTGAAGCCTTCATCCCCCGAATTCACTTTGTCGGCATCTCAGTGGGTGTGTTAAAAAAAACAGGATTAGGGGCCCAAAGAGCCCACAAGTTGAGTGAGTTTGCCCGAGAGGCCTGAGGGTTGTGCCTCACTTCGCCCCGCTGAGATATCATCGACCAAACACCTGGAATTTGTCTATGCCTTTGGGGGCTGCCGGGTCCCCTGTCGTAGGGTCCCCCGCCTCATCCAGAGGTGTCACTGGTCCTTTTGGTACGTATGCCCTCTACAAGGCCTGAAGTCAAGGCTCAGGTTAAAAGTACACTCCCCCGCTCAGTTCCTCTTGTCCCGGTAGTCGCCCTTCTTGCTATTGTCCTTATTGGTTTTTTCTTCTGCGTCTTCCCCTCCTTCTTCGCTTTCTTAGCCCTTGCAAGAGGATCACGTTGGAAGGTCTTCATCCCCTTCCCCTTTTCCTCCTTTTGAGCTTTTGCCCTTTCCCGGATTGGGGTTAGATGAGCTCGCCATGGATGGAGTCAAGGCTGACGTAGTCCCGCTAGGTCACTGTGTGGTCCGCGTCGCGGTTGTATGCTCCTTCCCCCTACTGGCGGGCCACCCTCAGAGAGGGGCCGCAGTCAGGTTCCGGAGGAAGCGCTTGGAGAAAGGGCCTCTTAAGCAAAACAGCGGCGGATATGCGACTCAAGCGCCGCTGGAAAAAGCACAAAGGCTCTCCTGAGGGAACAACCTCAGGCCAACCCTGTGCCTCCCCCCAGTGCCAAGGAGGGTGACAGCCCCCAAGACAAAGGTGCGGACACTTGAGCCAAAATGGCCACTCTGTCTTCTTCTTCCGCCGGGCATGAGGGGCTGTTAAGACCCCTCGGCCACTAGGGCCCCCCCATATTTTGTGGGGACTTTGGAGGAGTGTGAAAGGTTTTTTGTAGGCTCTCCCCGGGCAGATCTTGTCATAAAGTTATGATCAATTGAAACGCGATGTTAGATCTCCCCCGGTTTTTGTGACTACACTGTACGGTTAGCTTCACCTGTAACGGCTCAGGATCGCTTTCAGCAAGAAAAAGGACTAGCTATACAACAAGCACGATATAAAGCAATCCGCATGACCGTTGTTGCCAGGCAAGGCTTTCGCATCTACGGCAATCCCCCACGTTCATCGTTTGTCGCAGGTAAAGCAACACCAGGAATACATGTTATCATTCTCTCTCTCTCTCTCTCTCTCTCCCTTCTTCCCTCTCCCTCCATCCCTCCTGTCCTCCCACCCTCCCTCTGGAACACGAAGCTTCCACATGCATAGGTTCTGGCGATGGTGTGGTGGGTTGTTCGGGCCCAGTCGCCTGCAAAGGTTGCCCGGTCGTCCTCGAAGGAGTTGAGCTAGACACCGAGGTGTTGTTTTCAACGCTCCCTTGGTGCAGCCGTTGCAGCAGCGCTTGCAGCTCGCTGTCCGTGCAGTAGCAACCATCCTCAGAATCATCGTTGACGAGCTTGGCAAATGCGTCCAGCTCGAGGCCCTGCGAAGATCGGCTTTCGTGGCAAAGAGCTTCAAACTCGAGCTGCCACTCCCGATCGGTGCCGGTGAAGCCGGTCTGCTCAGCAAACGGCCGCATGTCAGCAGCCGTCAGGAAGCCCTTGCCTGTTCTGTCCAACGCATTGAACACGGCCTCTAGCAATCCTTGTCTCGAACTTCTGTCCTGCAAGCGGTAGATTCTCTTCTCTTCTTTTGTTCTACCACGATTTTGACGTAGCCGGACCTAGGAGACAAGTCTGCAGAAGCAGTGCCCACCCCTTCTCATGCTAAACCTTCATGGACCCGGGGATCGTGACTTGCGCAATGCCAGCTGTACACTACTTGCACACTTATTAATGCTCGTACGGCTGTGATGCACATGCCGACCTCCGACGCTGGCTGTGGTTGGCTGCCTTTACCCGAAGTAGCTGCATTGGGCACCGAAGTGTTGCTTTCAATGCCCCCTTGGTGCAGCCGTTGCAGCAGCGCTTGCAGCTCGCTGTCCGTGCAGTAGCAACCTTCCTCAGAATCATCGTTGACGAGCTTGGCAAATGCGTCCAGCTCGAGGCCCTGCGAACATCGGCTTTCGTGGCAAAGAGCTTCAAACTCGAGCTGCCACTCCCGATCGGTGCCGGTGAAGCCGGTCTGCTCAGCAAACGGCCGCATGTCAGCAGCCGTCAGGAAGCCCTTGCCTGTTCTGTCCAACGCATTGAACACGGCCTCTAGCAATCCTTGTCTCGAACTTCTGTCCTGCATGCGGTAGATTCTCTTCTCTTCTTTTGTTCTACCACGATTTTGACGTAGCCGGACCTAGGAGACAAGTCTGCAGAATCAGAAGCAGTGCCCACCCCTTCTCATGCTAAACCTTCATGGACCCGGGGATCGTGACTTGCGCAATGCCAGCGGTACACTACTTGCACACTTATTAATGCTCGTACGGCTGTGATGCACATGCCGACCTCCGACGCTGGCTGTGGTTGGCTGCCTTTACCCGAAGCAGCTGCATTGGGCACCGAAGTGTTGCTTTCAATGCTCCCTTGGTGCAGCCGTTGCAGCAGCGCTTGCAGCTCGCTGTCCGTGCAGTAGCAACCATCCTCAGAATCATCGTTGACGAGCTTGGCAAATGCGTCCAGCTCGAGGCCCTGCGAACATCGGCTTTCGTGGCAAAGAGCTTCAAACTCGAGCTGCCACTCCCGATCGGTGCCGGTGAAGCCGGTCTGCTCAGCAAACGGCCGCATGTCAGCAGCCGTCAGGAAGCCCTTGCCTGTTCTGTCCAACGCATTGAACACGGCCTCTAGCAATCCTTGTCTCGAACTTCTGTCCTGCAAGCGGTAGATTCTCTTCTCTTCTTTTGTTCTACCACGATTTTGACGTAACCGGACCTAGGAGACAAGTCTGCAGAAGCAGTGCCCACCCCTTCTCATGCTAAACCTCCATGGACCCGGGGATCGTGACTTGCGCAATGCCAGCTGTACACTACTTGTACACTTATTAATACTTGTAGGGCTGTGATGCACATGCCGACCTCCGACGCTGGCTGTGGTTGGCTGCCTTTACCCGAAGTAGCTGCATTGGGCACCGAAGTGTTGCTTTCAATGCTCCCTTGGTGCAGCCGTTGCAGCAGCGCTTGCAGCTCGCTGTCCGTGCAGTAGCAACCATCCTCAGAATCATCGTTGACGAGCTTGGCAAATGCGTCCAGCTCGAGGCCCTGCGAAGATCGGCTTTCGTGGCAAAGAGCTTCAAACTCGAGCTGCCACTCCCGATCGGTGCCGGTGAAGCCGGTTTGCTCAGCAAACGGCCGCATGTCAGCAGCCGTCAGGAAGCCCTTGCCTGTCTTGTCCATCGCATTGAACACGGCCTCTAGCAATCCTTGTCTCGAACTTCTGTCCTGCAAGCGGTAGATTCTCTTCTCTTCTTTTGTTCTACCACGATTTTGAGCAGATCTTGTCTGGAAACCTGAACCAGAAACAGCAACTGCTAAACAGGCTGTCTTGAACTGGAACTGCACTAAGTAGACTATCTTACAGCGCACCCTCTTCTTCAAATCTTACCTGCCTGCGGTGTTAGCTAGTCTCAGAATGGAACTCGACATCAGCTTCTGGCTTTCGGCTCGGCCTTGGCAGGAGCGTGGGCAGGTGCCATGCCGGATGCAACGGCCTTTGCAGCAACCGGAGCCGCTTTGGCTGGATTCGTGCTGGGCGGGGGCTGCTGTTGCTGCTGCTGCTGCTGCTGCTGCAGCAATGCTCGCAACTCGCTGTCTGAGCAGTAGCAGCCCTCGTCCGAGGAGTCGTTCACAAGCTGCACGAACTCTTCCAATTTAATCCCTTTCGCACTTCCACGGTCTCGGCACAGCAATGCAAACTCCTGCTGCCACTCGTGGTCGCTGCCGCCGAAGCCAGTCTGCTCTGCGAACGGCCGCATGTCTGCAGCTGTGAGATATCCTTTGCGTGTCTTGTCCAAGGAACTGAAGACAGCCTCGATCAAGTCTCGTCTTGGATCCTGCGAGACCGGAACTGGAGCTACACTGTCTTAGAGCGCACACTCTTCTTCAAATCTTACTTGCCTGCGGTGTTGACTAATCTCAGAATGGAACTCGACATCAGCTTCTGGCTTTCGGCCCGGCCTTGGCAGGAGCGTGGGCAGGTGCCATGCCGGATGCAACGGCCTTTGCAGCAACCGGAGCAGCTTTGGCTGGATTTGTGCTGGGCGGGGGCTGCTGTTGCTGCTGCTGCTGCTGCAATGCTCGCAACTCGCTGTCTGAGCAGTAGCAGCCCTCGTCCGAGGAGTCGTTCACAAGCTGCACGAACTCTTCCAATTTAATCCCTTTCGCACTTCCACGGTCTCGGCAAAGCAATGCAAACTCCTCCTGCCACTCGTGGTCACTGCCGCTGAAGCCAGTCTGCTCTGCGAACGGTCGCATGTCTGCAGCGGTGAGATATCCTTTGCGTGTCTTGTCCAAGGAACTGAAGACAGCCTCGATCAAGTCTCGTCTTGGATCCTGCGAGACCGGAACCGGAGCTACACTGTCTTAGAGCGCACCTTCTTCTTCAAATCTTACCTGCCTGCGGTGTTAGCTAGTCTCAGAATGGAACTCGACATCAGCTTCTGGCTTTCGGCTCGGCCTTGGCAGGAGCGTGGGCAGGTGCCATGCCGGATGCAACGGCCTTTGCAGCAACCGGAGCCGCTTTGGCTGGATTCGTGCTGGGCGGGGGCTGCTGTTGCTGCTGCTGCTGCTGCTGCTGCAGCAATGCTCGCAACTCGCTGTCTGAGCAGTAGCAGCCCTCGTCCGAGGAGTCGTTCACAAGCTGCACGAACTCTTCCAATTTAATCCCTTTCGCACTTCCACGGTCTCGGCACAGCAATGCAAACTCCTGCTGCCACTCGTGGTCGCTGCCGCTGAAGCCAGTCTGCTCTGCGAACGGCCGCATGTCTGCAGCGGTGAGATATCCTTTGCGTGTCTTGTCCAAGGAACTGAAGACAGCCTCGATCAAGTCTCGTCTTGGATCCTGCGAGACCGGAACTGGAGCTACACTGTCTTAGATCGCACACTCTTCTTCAAATCTTACTTGCCTGCGGTGTTGACTAATCTCAGAATGGAACTCGACATCAGCTTCTGGCTTTCGGCTCGGCCTTGGCAGGAGCGTGGGCAGGTGCCATGCCGGATGCAACGGCCTTTGCAGCAACCGGAGCAGCTTTGGCTGGATTTGTGCTGGGCGGGGGCTGCTGTTGCTGCTGCTGCTGCTGCAGCAATGCTCGCAACTCGCTGTCTGAGCAGTAGCAGCCCTCGTCCGAGGAGTCGTTCACAAGCTGCACGAACTCTTCCAATTTAATCCCTTTCGCACTTCCACGGTCTCGGCACAGCAATGCAAACTCTTGCTGCCACTCGTGGTCGCTGCCACTGAAGCCAGTCTGCTCTGCGAACGGCCGCATGTCTGCAGCTGTGAGATATCCTTTGCGTGTCTTGTCCAAGGAACTGAAGACAGCCTCGATCAAGTCTCGTCTTGGATCCTGCGAGACCGGAACTGGAGCTACACTGTCTTAGAGCGCACACTCTTCTTCAAATCTTACTTGCCTGCGGTGTTGACTAATCTCAGAATGGAACTCGACATCAGCTTCTGGCTTTCGGCCCGGCCTTGGCAGGAGCGTGGGCAGGTGCCATGCCGGATGCAACGGCCTTTGCAGCAAGCGGAGCAGCTTTGGCTGGATTTGTGCTGGGCGGGGGCTGCTGTTGCTGCTGCTGCTGCAGCAATGCTCGCAACTCGCTGTCTGAGCAGTAGCAGCCCTCGTCCGAGGAGTCGTTCACAAGCTGCACGAACTCTTCCAATTTAATCCCTTTCGCACTTCCACGGTCTCGGCACAGCAATGCAAACTCCTGCTGCCACTCGTGGTCGCTGCCGCCGAAGCCAGTCTGCTCTGCGAACGGCCGCATGTCTGCAGCTGTGAGATGGCCTTTGTTTGTTCTGTCCAACGTCTTGAACACGGCCTTGATCAAATCGCGCCTGGAATCCTGCAGCAGAGCGACTGACTGATGACATGCGATGTCATTTGCCAGGACAAGCGGTGTACATCAATGCACCATAGCTCTTGAGCGATCCCTTGATGGCCTGAGACTGAGCTGGAGCAGCTGGAGCACGGGAAACTGGTGGAGCTTGATGGTGCGCCTCCCAACAGATTCGACAGGACGGTTTTGTGGTTGTTCAGCTCTGAACATAATCAGGAATCAGGAGGGTGCTGCACCCGTCCTGCACCACCTGTCGCGTTGCTAGTTGCAAGTTGCAGACGCCTGATCCCAAGGCATCATGAAGAAATCCGTGAGAACTTGCTTGCGTAGTCCTCTCTCCCTATCCTTCTCGCGGTCCTCTCACTCTATTCAAACTCTTTACTTTGTGGTGTCGGGCCGGCGCCGTTCATCGAGCCAGAAATGGCCGTCAGCTGTTCGGCGTCGTTCCTGAAAGGCTGCATGGTCACTGCGTGGCCTGCATGTGCTCGGACATCTGATGCCTTTCATCTTAGGGCGCTGCAGCTCACGACCCATGTGCAGCAGCCGCTGCGAGGCTGTTGCAAGGCCGAGCATCTTCCTTTGTGGCATGGTTTGTGGGCCGCGGGAGGCCTGATCTTGGTCTTGGGGCATTGGCTCCAAGCGAGTCTTGACCTCGCCTGCCTGAAGATGGGCCAATGACACCCTCTTCGCCAAGTACTTCGTCATTTTTTGGTGCCCGCGATTTAAGCGCTGCACCGTCTCCTCAAGATCCACCTCCAAGAAATGCTCAGCACCTGCGATCAGGGCAAGCCCAAAGCATGCCGAGCCAGCAGAGTGCTAGACAGCCTTGTGCAGTAGATATTTTGAGCTTCATCAAAGTTGTGTGTCGCGGACCAAAGGCTGCAGTTGGGTTCAGGACGGCGGCCTGACAACAGAGAAACACAGAAGGGATTGCAAACACAAAAGACAGAGGTGGCTCAAGGATCAACCAGCAATGCTGATGGATGTTGAACACAACTGCAGGCGCCGTCGCATCGGGCTTGTGCTGTGCCAGCTGTGCCCTTTCGGCCTCAGACAATGAGGTGCGAACAGCCTCTGTCAATCTGTCGCGACATCAGACAAACCGCAATGTACTTGAGGCCACTGCCCAGGTCAGACCGTTACTGTCCGGCCTCAATACAAAGCACTCGAAGCAATCCAAACGACAGCGCCTCCTTTTCAGCTCTCTCAGCTCGTGCCGGGGTGCAAGGACGGTCGCGGCGCCGCTCCGAAGTCAGCTGCGAAGTTCGGGGCCCGCTGCTCCTGTCCACTGTGGCGTTGGCTGGCGGCGTCGGCACTTACGAGCAGCCAAACTCGTTTCGAACGTTGCCGATGCGGATCTTCGGAGCCTGGGAACGCCGATTGCGGAGGATGTCTGCGAGGCTTGACGGGGCCGCGGTGCCCAAAGCTGGAGCAGCGGAAGCACCTGAGCGGCAAGCGGCAAGTTGCGGCAAGCGGACCTCCGGTACGACCGGGACCAGGGCCCGACTGCGCGACGACCTGAGAACACGCCGTTTTGGGCTCAGGCCCAAAGCTAAGATGCTCTTAACATCTCTGAACTGACAGTGGGACGTAGCTGATGTTGAGAGGCTTGTACTGCCGTTTCCCTCACGGGACGCTTCGAATTCAGCTTCTAAGCAGGCTCCGTCTCACCGTAGTATCTCGTTCCTTGGCTTACGACCCTTGCCGTGCCTTTCTGCTTCGTTTTCTGAGTCGGATTCGGCTGGCTCAACATGCCCTGCGCATCCTCCTCCTCTTGCAACATCTGCCTAAGCAATGCAGCCGGTCTTCCTCGCTATATATCCGAGATATTCCGAGATATTGCAAGGGCTTTGGCGCTAGCAGCATGTCTGCAGCCAACGTATCTTCCGTCTGTGCTGCTGGCCCGCGCCCTGGCAATGCCAAGGATCCAAAGTAACATGGCTCAGGCTGCAGCACTGGCCGTGCCTTTCTGCGTTCTCTCAGGTTTCGGTTTCGGTTGGCTCAGCATGCCCTGCGCATCTTCCTCCTCTTGCAACATCTGCCTCAGCAATGCTGAAAACCGATCAGGCACGCTTCTTGCCTTGCTGCCTCGGGCTCTGGCGCCAACAGCAGGTCCGCAGCCAATCTGTCCTCCGTGTGCGGCAATGGCCTTTGCTGCTTGCTGCACCCAGGCCCCGCGAGCGATGCTTCGGCTTGAGATGTGCCTGGCTGACCGGGAAGAGCGTGCCTGTCGATTCACCAGGGATCAGGCGGGTCATGATGGGGAAGAGCCCAAGCTCCAGTGCAGCGCGATTTAGAACAAGCCAAGGGTGTGTCAACCGTGCTTTGCCGCCGGATCCCTCATGCCCAAGCTTGGGCATTTTGGTCTGGGGTGGCAATGGCTGTTGAAGCAGACTCTTCAACTATTGGGTCTTGGTACATCCCGTAGCATCTCTGGCCCGGGGCCCGGCCCCGGTTCTTTGCTGTCCTTCTTCAACATTTCAAAGGCACCAGCTTTTCAACTTCGGTCTTGCTCGCGTCACAGTGAGTCTTCAGCCGTATGCCGCAGGATCGTTTTCACATGTTCAGACCTTTCTTCTTGTGTCTGCTTCTGCGTTTAGAATTCAGAATAGTGTACCGGACCAACATTTTGCATCCAGGCTGTTGGGACTGCCGGGTACCCTTGAAGAAAGGAAACTGAGGGCCCAGGCAAATCTGCATCACTACTGGCTGCAACACTCACCCAAACACACAAGACATAATGTTTCGCAGAACTATGCGAAAGTCGGAAAGGACACGTGTGTGCAGACTATTCCAATCTTTAAGATGGTCTTCGAAAAGCCAAGTTTCCAGGCTTATCAGAACTGCAAGAGGCTGCGACTGCATTCGAAGGCGACTGAGGAGAAAATGTACATCCTCTGCTAGCAAACTCTGACGTAGCTCCCAGGTGAGCACGCCATGCTCCTCATCAATCCATGACAAATGACCCGTGTTGTCAGCAGTCACGCTCAGAGAACAGGCAAAGAGCCAGGGCACCTGCTGTAACAGATTAGACTTGGAGTGAGGCCATGTGTTACAGTGCGCTATCGGATGGGATTCAGACTCAGCCGTGTAGCGAAAGAGCTGTTGTCCCTTGGCCCTCCACACATCACGACGTGCAGCGAAAGCAATAAGCGACTCCTCGCCCACGGCAGTCTGAGCGTAGGCAGCTGAATGAACCCGCGAACGTCGGCAAATGGAGGTCATCCGGAGTGTGAACGGTATTGCTGATGTGGAAAAGGCCAGGCAGGAGCGGTGGACAACAAGTTTGTGAAATGGACCGCCAAACAGCCGGTCGCATGCTAGCACTGTAGCTTGTGCGATGTTCGGACAACTTTCAAGATGGCGGAGGTCCAACCTTTGCATCGCGAGCAGTCCGGGCAGAACACTTCAGGCAGTTTCTGATCATGATGTCCCATCTTAAGCAAAATAGTATCTCGCATAGCCCGGCATAGCCAGCAAGAATTCAAGCACAGCTCGACCAAAAAACAAAAACCAACGCTAGGTTTTGCAGCTGTTCGAGACGGAAGCTGGGACCTGGAATCAAGCTGACTGAGGGCTACACGGCTACAATCTCTGTTGTATTGGAGTCTCCACTTGCTTGCAGCGTCCTGTCTTGTCTCATGTCCATGCCGTGTATTTCGAGTTGTAGACTTGGCACACAGCTGGGATGAGCGACTGAAAAGGTTTCGGCCGGTTAGGCTTTAGTTGGCGTGAAGACGGTATGAACTGTCGAAAAAGAAAAGGGATTCGGATCGAGCGCTTAGAGGCGCGAAATTGCTGAAGAGGCAGTTTCCGTCGAATTGCTCTTGCGGAATCGTTAACGGCAGAAGCCAGTCTGCTGTGAGAGCGGAGTGTCACTCAAGGCTTTGCGCTTGCGGCCTGGGGACGAGATTCTATGCGAGCGGACGTCGAGCATCTTGCTGAGCGATGTGCCGTGCAGAGGCGATCGGGTCTCCTGTCCAGACGTTGCCTGCTGAAGCCACAGCGCAGGATCCTTATGTTAGAAACTGGGAACCAATGGATGCTTTTCCATTGCGCGATCACCTGGGTGAAAGTCATGGCGATGTCCGGCTCGACGCAGGGTGCAGTTATTCGGTCTGCACCGGATTGTCAGACAACCAAACCGTTTGGGCGAGGAATCTGACATCCATTGTCGTTGGGCATAGACTCCAAGCCTCAATTTCCGTGGGTTTTCATGCTTGCCCTATGCTCAGGCCTGCATGTTATGCTGGTTTTGTTTCAGCCTGGGATTGCCGCCTGCGCGCGGACAGTTGAATGTATCGGCTCAACAAGTGGATGCATGATCTGTGCGTGGCAAACACAGGATACTTAGCAGTGGGCTGACGTCTCTTCAGGCGTGATCAAGTCTACTGCAGAAACCTATTCGGATCCTAATAATAAAAGAACCGAAACGGTGGAGTTTGTAAAGCTGTTCGACAAGCTCCTTCAATCGTCTTGCCTTGCCCTCATGTAGTGTGCCGAATGCCGTCTGACAAATACCATGCCCGCAACTTGTCACCACAACTTCGCGAAGTTATCATGCAGCCCAGCCTGCATGATCGCCCAGGTGAGAGACCCTGCCCCCTAAGCAGTGTTGTCTGTTCCTATCACAAGTCTTCTGATAAAGGATTCCGAAGCTGAGCTGCGCCAATCCTGTTTCGAACGAGCCATGGAATGGAAGAGTTGCCCTTGGAGCCCGGCATGCGACAGGACCAACAAGTGTTTCCAAAACGCATGCTCTGCTGGATTTGCTGGCGCTCCGTCTCTTAATGTCCTGTCGAACCACATCAGCCTCGTCCTGAGTTGAGTTCGCCGCCCAAGTCTCCAGCCCGTCTCAACGAAAAAACGTGAGCACACCTTTTCATTAGCCACTCGCGCCCTTTGCTTTTGATTTTGCCTTTCTCTTCTTGGGCGCAGGTGCCGCTTCTGCCTGGCTCCGCCAGGCCGTGCTCATGCCCCAAGAGGAACTCAACTGCAGGACACCCTCCGCTTCGCTCAGCTTCCTGCTCCTGGGGGCACTGCCCCCGGATACTTCGCCTTAGAGTGTCGATAGAATTAAATCCACAGGTTGACAAGGCTTCTATCGGGACGCTGCCCAAGCTCTTCTTGTGCTGAGGGCTTAAGCATCTGACTGGGTCTCTTAATTGAGTGGTGACCTGCTACATGCCTGCCGTAACACCATGACTAAACACCATCTAGTCCGGCACCGAAGGTGGGCCCTCACAGAGAAAGGGACAACAGCCGAAGCAAGTGTTCCACAACAAGTGCGATTAAGCTGCAACGAAGCCAGGCACATCAAACTTCCGCCTAGGTCGCCCAGACTATAGTCAGAGATGCTGGTTTCGCAGGCACAAACTCATGCAGTTGCAATCTGAGTCCCATGATCTGCTCGCATTTTCCGTTCTGCGGGTGAGGCCCCGAAATCAGTTTCCGCTGAAGCCTCAACAACTCAATGTGGGAAAGCCAGCACATGCCCCGCCACTGCCAGACGTTTGCCTGCAGTGTTGTGCCATAGCCAAGACATAACACGGGCCTGCAACCAGCAACGGGCTGCACACTATCACACTGCCCTGCCCAACCAAAGTGGCATGCACATATTGCACCTTGCCCAGGACGGATAGTCCGACCCTGGCAACTTGAAGAGCCAAACTCCGTCTGCCAAAGCCTCAGCCGGTGAAAGAAGCGGACTGAGGTCATGGGGATGTTGTGATCACAGCCACTGGTCCGCATCGCTGAAGTCGTCAAACGCATGATGCTATGATCATGAGCCAGGCAGCTGCAGCAGAAAGTCCGTAGGGCTTGCCGAGCTCAGCAGCTAGCGGAGAGTCTTGCTCTTTGGCAACTCCGGCGTTCTCGACGCCGCCAGGAACCTTCAACCTGCAGTCATGGGATGCCACCGTTAGACCGTGGGCGCACGCATGTGCAGGCTGCTCAGGTGCACAAGGACCTGCGGCCCTGCTGCCGAGGAACAAGTAACAGTCAAAAAAACGCGGACATGCCGCAAGAAATTCATCCAAGATGCTGACTTCCTTAGATATGATCAAATCTTCGAGTGTAACCCTCTGAAGAATTCCAAAGACAAGAACAAGGGTTCAAGGCCACCCATGCCTCACATGCACACCGAACTGATCTTCCCAGGGGCAGGCAGCTTGTGATAGCATCGGCCGGGTGAGAGCATAGACACTGCGACACGTGGCGTGTAGGACAGTCAAGAGCGCAGGGAGTCCAGATTTAAATCACGTTGACGGCTGTGCTGATGGGTCTGACATTCGAGGACTTGCCTCATTTTGCACACTTGCAGATATGAGATCTTCGCGGTGGTCTGTCGTGGGGACACAGGTGAAAATCACCGCGACAGCAGTGGAGTCAACTTGTTTAGCACTCTGGACGGGCGACCGCGAGACACGACATGGACAACTACGAGGTCACGAGACAAGAGTGCTCGGGATCCCTTGTCCCTGTGGACCAGACCCAGCGCACAAACTTGGAGCTTAGAGAGGCTGCGCACTTCCGTGAGAAGCAGTGCCACCAGACGCCAAGTGAGGTTTTGGCCATATCATAACCTTACATGGTGGAGCGACTCCGAATGACAGTCCTGTGCGCGCAACTGCTCTTCGGAAGAGAAACTAGATGTGCTACAGATGACATTCGCCGAACGCGCGCGTATCATGATGGTTCAAGCAGTACAATGTACATCATCTGGTTGCGGCATGCATCAGGTCCCCCTGGACGATTAGCCATGCACTGCAGTTTTTGAGTACAAACGGGCAATTGGCCCAGCCTAGCATAAATAAACTCCAGAAACAGCCCGGTCCAACAAAGTGGTTGCTAGCTCGCTATGCAGATGTGGACGTCATGCTGCATGGGGAATGCATGACTACTGCTGCTGCTGCTGCTGCTGCTACTGCCACTGCTACTGCTACTTCTACCGCTACATCTGTCAATCCTGCTACCTCTACATCTACTATTACTACTACTACTACTACTACTACTACTACTACTACTATTACTACTACTACTACTACTACTACTACTACTACTACTACTACTACTACTACTACTACTACTATTACTACTACTACTACTACTACTACTACTACTACTACTACTACTACTACTACTAAGGGTCTCGGCTGGAGCTGAACAGGAAACAGGAGTAGGCTCTCGTGCGGTGGCGTGCATGGCATTCATTCCTCGACTGCTGCTTTTTATCTGTTTCTGCTACAACATAACATCACCGCTCTGGCTGTCCGGGTCCCAAATCCCGGAGATCTCCTTACGAATGGATGCTGCTCGACGGACAGCGGAGAGATCAGACCCGAGGGTTGGGTCATTCACCACACGTGATCCAGGAGCTCTGGCTTCTGCTGGAGCAAAATACTCTGGAGGGAATGGCGAAGACCTACGCGCGGCACCTTTTAACAGGACGCGGAAGCGCGCATACAGACGAGCCCGAAGACGGGCTGAGATGCATGGCGCCACGACATACAGAGGAAGGGTCTGGACAGCTGCCGAGTTGGGAACCAAGCAGCTTCAGCAGCCAGGCGAAGCAACTGCTCCGCAAAACCCGATGAGGAGATCAGCTCCACAGGACCGCTGGGAGGCTCAACCGCGCATTGCGGTGCGCACATACAACGCTGGAGGCTTTACAAGTGAAGTCTATGATGTCTTCTGTCACTGGCTACAGCATCACTGCCAGGACGATGTCGTGATGGTGCAGGAGCTGCACTGGGGCTGCGGAAAAACTGCCGGAAGCTGGAAAATCCATGGATGGCATTTCTTCATGAGTGCTGACCCGAAAAACAGATACGCGGGGGTTGGTATAGCTCTGTCAGAACGCATCATGGCCCAGGCTACTGTAAGCCACTGCACGATCCTCCCGGGCAGACTGCTGCAAGTAAAGTGCTGCACTCCGCGCCTTACAGTCGACTTCATCTGTGGATACCAGGCAGTTTGGCAGGAAGGTGCCGCGGCGAAGTCAGCAGGACTCCGTGACGAATTCTGGATGAAACTGGGAGGGCTTCTACAGGGCCTGCCGCAGCGCAACTTGCTGGTGGTTGGCGCAGATCTCAACACGCACTGCCACCCAGTACGAGGCCTGATAGGTCGCGGAGTTATGAAAACACACCATAATCCTGACCCTGATTTTGTTCAATTGCTGCAACAACATGACCTTGTTCTGTTAAACACATGGGGACAGGCTCACCCGCGCGTCAGTCACACGTTCAGCAGTCATAATGCTAGAAGCCAGATAGACTTCATAGCGACACGCCGTCCAGTTGCGGACGCCAAAGCGCGCCAAGCAGCGCCACAAGCGTTCGACATGTCACCATGGAGGCGGGGACCGAAACATCGTGCAATCTGCGCCTCTCTGCCTTGGCGCGCAGGCTGGACTTTCAGGAAAAGTGAGAAGGGCTCACCAGCCGACTCTTTAGCAGCATTGCGTTTGTCCATCAAACATGGCCTTCCTAGTGCGGATGAACTCCGCGCCCGCGTAGACCAGCTCCTTAAGGACAGCCCTGCCATCACCATCGCCCAGGCCAATCAAAGCGTTCGTAACATATGTGTGAAGCTGTTTCCTGCCCGCCCTAAAACCTCCTCTAGACCTGGCGGTAGAAAAGAGGTCACCCAAAAGGTAGAGGCCATGTGGAAGGCTCACGCATCCCTGTGTGATATTCGGTCCTCACGACCGGAACGCGGCATACTAGCAGCCGGCAGAGCGGCTGCGAAATTTCTGCAAAGCAGCCGAGCACTCAAAGCTGCCAGCAGACGGGCCAGAAAGCAGTGGTACGAGGAGCAGATAGTCGCTGCAGAGGTAGCTGCAAGCAGGCACGACTTAGGGGAGGTTCATCGTATAATTCGGGTCTTAGCTCCTAAGCGGAAGAGGGAGGTAGTCTGCATCAAGAGCGAGGAGGGCCGTCTGCTCAGTCCTGCTGCCGAGTTTGATGCCATCTATCAGCACTACAGCACGGCCTTTGGCAGAATATCAAGTGCCACCAGCAGTTGCACCTATAAGGTTCCAGGAGTCGGACATACTCGGCACCATAGCACAGCTCAAGCCAGGCAAAGCAGTGCCAAAGACCAGCCTTCCGACCGAAGTCTGGCAGTTGTGTGCATCCAGCTTCTCGAAGCTTCTGACCGCGCGTCTTAATGAATGCCCTGCTGCCACCCATTGGCCCGAGGAGGTCAGTCACTGTTCGCTTGCGCTGTTACCCAAGCCTAATCGTCCCAGCAAAAGCCCAGGAGACCTCAGGCCACTAGGATTGCAAGACCCGGGCTCTAAGATCTTGGCCATGCAGTTGCGCAAGCAGTTGGAGGCTGTCACGGACAGCTTTGTTGCACAGCGTCCCCAATTTGCTTACATTCGTGGCAAGGCAATAGACGAAGCCATCAGCAGGGTGGCAGCACACTGCTCCAGAGTCAGATCCAAGTTGCAGGTTTCTTCGCAAAGTGTACATGCTAAATACTCAGGTGCGGCGGCTAGAGCTAGTACTTGCGAGGGTGGGTTATGCTTAGCCTTGATCTTAGCCGGGCTTTTGAAAGTCTGCAAGCCTCCCTAGACCATGCACTAGTGCCCAACGACCTGCAGCATGCGATCCTGCAACTACACGAGAACTGCCGGTACGAAGTTAACCACAAAGGTCATGTTGGAAGCTTCGCAATGCAGCGTGGCGTTAGGCAGGGCTGTGCTCTTAGCCCAACACTGTATGTCTTATTCACATGCCTTCTGTATGATGAACTGGCAGCTCAGACCAGCGAAGCATGGGCCAAGGAAGCCTTGTCTCTCTTTGCCGATGATAGTCACCTGTCTTGGGAAGTCCAGACACTGAGCGATCTGGCGTTTGTCATGAAATGCATACAGGTTACGTTTCGGGTCTTCCAGAGGCACGGCATGAGAGTCAACGCTGCCAAGTCCCAGCTGATACTCCGGTTGCGTGGCAGTGCTGCAGCGAGATGGCTGCGAAGGCGGCTAGCGGCTAGTCAGGCAACCTGATGGGGTTAAAGTCAATATGGGCACCCCGCACTCACCCCTTTGGATCCCTAAGGTTGATAAAATGGTTTACTTAGGAGTGGTGATCTCGTATGGTAACTACGAACTGCAGACTGCATTACACCGCTTGAAGGCAGCCACCGCGAATAGGCATAGGCTTGCTAGGGTGCTGCACAACCGGCAGTTGTCTTTGCCGCAACGTGCTCGACTGTACAGTGCCTGTGTGCGCAGCAGCCTTTTCTACGGGCTGCACGCCATCGGTCTAACCAGTGTCGCAGCGAGGAAGTTGGACCAGGCGGACGCGCGCGCACTGCGT